AAAAAAAAAAAAAAAAGATATTCAGCAGAAGCAGCATTCCACACTGCACAGAAAGCCAAGGAGGAAAAGACAAGTCAAGATGATAGCAAGCATTTACTGAAAGGTTTTGAGGCACTTATTTATTTATGGACTGGACAGAAAACAAAGGCAATCAAGTGGAAGGCAGTATTCCTGGCATCTCGCCTAAAACATGGGAGGCAGAATAGAGCACTCAAACCACTGAAAGTTCCTTCCTCAGCTCATTCATGTGGTCCTAAAACAGATATCTGCATTGATTCTGAAGTCCTAAGTAGGAAACCAAAGGACTTAGGGGACCCCCAGAGGTGACATCCTCTCTTCTTACTGACAGCCCTGCCTTTGGACTTGCTCTGAAGACCAGACCAAGAAGAAAGTATTATGTTCTAGATCTAAATCCCTCCAGAATATTTGGAAGAGGGTGTCTGTCAACGGACTTGCCAACTTGATCAAGATGACTTTCCACAGACATCTGTGAGAGTGTGGGAGAGACTGCCGAGGTAAATCCCAGCCGAGCATAAAACTAGGTTCATAAGTAGAAGCTTCCGGGGTCAGATTTCAAAGTAAAAGAGAATTTTTGAATAATTAAAGATCTGCAACAATATTAGACTCTCTCCCTGAGCAGCAAATTATGTCACCGGGAATGCTGCAGTAGAAGTTCTTCACTAAGTGAGACACTGGGTTTAGGTCCTTCCCAACTCAAGTTTCTGTGGTGTATTGGTTAGGAATGTGTTTGGCTACAAAGGAAAACGCAAACACTGTTTAACCTTTCACTCCACCATCCTTAGCGTGCTGACTTTTATCTTACTGTTTGTTACTTCCTGGTCACAAGATGGATGCCCTACCTCCAGGCTCAAGCCCATGTTGAAGGCAGAAGCAGCTGAAAACAGGAAGGCACAGCTCCGGTCTCAGAAAAACAAAACTTTCACAGAAAGCCTTAGTGGACTTGCACTGATATTTAATTCGCGAGAATGTATCGTAAGGGTATCTCTAGACCAGGGTTTCTCAACCTCAGCCCTATGGACCTTTTGGGCCAGATAATTCTTCGTTGTGGGGGACTGTCCTGTGCATTACAGGATGTTTACCAGCAGCCCTGGCCTCTAGCCACAGATGCTACTAGCACCCCACACCCAGCTGTGACAATCAAAAATGTCTCTAGACATTGCCAAATGTCCCCTGGAGGGCAGAACTGCCCCTGTTTGAGAACCATGCTTAGACTACTCACCATTTCATAGGCTAAGATGAAGAGGGTGGTGAATGGGGTAGTCAGCCAACCAACAAGGACTGCTCTAAATGCTCTAAATCTATTTCTTAAATGTTTTCTAATGAGCTCTCTAACTACTGTGCCTAAGTATTCTGGAAAATTTAAGAGAAACATATTAAGTGTCCCCAGCTTAGAAGTACTCACAATAAAGTTTGAAAAATCAAGATTGAGACACAAAAAAAAATACATTGTAACGGTCTTGAACCATAGAGACAGGCAAGATATCCTTCAGTTGGTTCAGCTCAGGCAGGCTAAAAGCACATAAGAGTGTAGCTTGAAGTCCTTAATGAAAATGTCACTTCAGAGGCAGAACTTGCATTTGAAGACTAGAAATTCTTAGACAAGTGGCAGGAGAGAAGGAAAATAACATGAGCAGAGGACACAGAGTGAGCACGGTTAAAAGCTCAGGAGCTACCGTTCTGAGGGGAGACCCGGGTGCTGACAGACTCAGCATAGACAAGTCATTTAGCGTCTCTGCACCTCAGTTTTATCATCTGTATAATGGAGATGATAACAACATCTATCTCCGACGGTTGATGAAAGGATCGGATGAGAGCAAATCAATTACAAGAGTATCTGCCACATAGTAAGCAATCAGTTGTTAGTGTCTATTATTATTGTTATTATTATATAGAGTCATTATGATATATAATTTAATATAATAATAATATAATTCAGGAAAAGAGCCCACCTATCAGAAATCAGAAGATGCCTGTTAGTGAGTGGCTGTCATATCCTGAGCAGGACAACCAGAACTTACAGTTAGTGGGTAAAGTCAGGCTCCTGATGGCCATGACATTCTGGCTGACATCCAGGTGAGATGGCAGGAGGACCACCAGGAAAGCACCATCCACACCTACCAAGAGGTTTTGGCAGGAGGGTTGGCTGGAATCTGTGGCTGATTTCAAGTAAACATAATAGCCATCAAGTTAATAATAAGACTTTCCATGTTATAAAGGAATTTTAGCTTGCAAAGCATTTCTACATATACTGTCTGAGAAATTTGCCTGTAACAAGCCTTCAGTAGCTAATAGAGAGCTACTATAGCAAGAAGGAGTTCTATTCATCATTTGAAAAATCACTGCCAAGCAAAGTCAATCTGTAGAAAGAAGTGGGAGATACAAGACTTGCCTTCTACTTGAGCACAAGAGACATAGATATGAACCAAAGAATGATTAATATAGTATCTTTAATAGATTTAGGGGAAAATAGATAAGGTTTAAAAAAATATTTCCAATCTCTGCATTCTTATCTATGAGCAGGCCACCAATGGGCCTTCTGAGTCCCAAACTCCTAACCTCTGGGTCCTGATTTTTTTATGACCAAAGGATAAGGGATAAAGAACACACAGA